CGTCGCGATGTGCTTGCACCCAGTTATAAGCTTCAAATATTCTCGTAGCTCCAGAACTTTTAAGTGCTTGCAAAAGTTTAGTATTTCTACTCTCCATGTCCCTCAACCTGCAAAGGGTGCAACAAATAAACAAGAAGAAATATGATTTAAGGGCGTATGACAACAGTTGACCTTTAACTTAACCTGTCCGTGCACTGTCTTAGTGCCACCTTTTTCTGCACTAAGTCATTTTCCTTCTCTGATTTTAGATCCCTATTTCGACGGACAGAAACTTCTTGCTCCAGAATTTCATTACGTAATCTTTCCTGGTAAGAAAAAGTTAATTAGCAGAAGTAAAGGTGTCGATTCAATAGTCAGTTAAAGTTGTTAATTAATAGAAAGATAAACATAGAATAAAACAAATTGAAGCAGTATCAAACAATTATGCAGAGATAATTACGCTGTTTTGCCTGGACATATGTTATATCAGATGTAAAATGTTGAATAGCATTATTTATGCACAAAAAGCAATGTCGATTATACATGAAATACTAGGACTGAACACTTTTTCATGAAAGAAAACACATGGCGCTTGATATTTATTGAACGTGGTTCATGAAAAGCACCACTTCCATCTTTTGATAAATTATGATATTTTGTCCGTTTGTACACGACTTACCATTTCACTCCTAGGAGGTTCATAGGGAGGCAGATTTTCAAGATCTAGAACAGCAGCAGCAAGATCTTCTTTGGCTTTTGAGATTCTTATTTTCCGAGATTCTTCTTGTCTGTTCAAGTCTTCCATTTCTTTGTATTTTCCTTGAACTAACACCCCCTACAAATATGTAGAGGAAAATTAGAGGACAAACATTCTCTGCAGGTCCTTGCATTAAAATTAAAAAGAAACCTAAAAGCACGAGGAAAAAACAACAATCAAGCATACCAAATGTTCTGCCTTCTCCATAACGTCAGTACGTTTACGGGCATTGTCATTAATGCGCTTCTGTACTTCTTTAACTTTGGCATCCAGTTTAGCTTTCTCTTGCTTTTGTCGCCTGCAAATAGTAGGTGAACAATAAGACCAACACCTGATTAATAACAACTTCACTG